ACACACACGGTTATATTAATAAGTAAGACGTACCTTTGTGTACATATACACACCTTTAGTCTTTGTTTGACAGAATAATGCTCACTGTCCCTTTACACCTTTTTAATTTACGAGGCCTTAAGTTTGGAATAACTCGGCCATTAACAAACATCATTATTGGGCTGGCAGCACAGTCGTGTGGCAATGCCGTAAGAGGAGCACGTGTATGTGTGGCGTGGGTATACAACTTCCCGCCTCGGTGCATGGATACAGCCTATTGTCACCGAGTGCTGCAGTACCTATACCATACTGTATATTGCACATATTTTGCCCCTTGCATCATGCCACCAAAGTGTCACTTAAGTTTGCCTGGCACCGGATGGATGTGTTTTAAACGTTATGAGAGAAGCGAACAAACACCCGATATTACCCGTGCCCTTGAACTCTACTTTACTGACTCATTCGCGATGGTAGAGAGAAGATGGAGGAGAGTGCCAAGAGTGGAACATTAATCAGTGTATCTAAGGCCGTGTAGCCCCAAAGGTCGATTATGGAACGAACACTGAGCACGTGGATTGAACACCAAACTAATGAAAATGTTCCCGTCAGCATGCTTGTGATACAAACCCAGAGTATTTTATATTTCCTGGGGTGTGTAGTATACTGTAGTAAAATACTGGCATAATAATGGGTACTGTCTTATTAATAACAAAACCTCCTAATCTCCATTATTTACTTTACAGTACTTGATTTATGCATTTTTTTAATAATAATAATTATTATTATTACTATTATTATTATTATTATTATTATTTTATTTTATTATTATTATTATTTATTTATTTATTTATTTATTTATTTTTTTAGGGGCAATAGCCCACCCAGGCACAGGTCACCGACCCACAACAGGGTCTAGGGGGTGAAAAAATTAGAGTAAAAAGAAACTTAAAATAGAACAGAAAAAGATTATATTAATCTACACCACGAAGATGCCAGAACACCAGCTTTTTGAAGCGGGACAGATTGTATGAGTATGGAAACACAGATGGCACAGCATTCCACAGTTTGGCTGTGTGAGGAAAGAAGGATGTACTATAACGGGTTATTCTAGTGTGACCGACATCCACAGAGAAACGGTGGGCACCGCGGGCAAGACGAGTGTTACGAGCCCACGGTCTTGCCGGCGGTACACAGGATGCCAAATCCACCGAACATTGCCCGTTAAAGTACCTGTAAAAGAGAGAGAGTGAAGCAACATTGCGGCGAAAAGAAAGGGAAGAAAGATTATCAACTAAAGGAGGAGAGTTAATAAGACGAAATGCCTTTGATTCCAACCTATCTAACAGTTGGACAGAAGAAGAGCCACCCCAGATATGTGACCATTATCAAGACTGTAACTATCGTGTAAATTTAGAGGCGCCTGTACAGAAAACTGACCACTGCCAGTGAATTTGTGTTTATTTATTCCCCCAAGAGCAGCACATTAATACACTTGACCTTATAGTACAACAACAGTGTACTATCACTCCCCCTTCACACACACACGTTTTCCACCATCATCATAACCACAATATATGAACCAGGGAATTGAATGAACATATGTTTTCACTTACCTCTAACCTCCCATAAAATTCTGGTGTGTCATGACATACCTGCAGGAGTAAGAAAAATATCATTAGAAGCTGCCATAAAACATTATAAGAATGAGGCTTCAATAATGCTAATGATACATGAAGCTTTACTTCTCACATGTTCACCATCACTGCTCTCTGCTTCCTTTCCTTAATCTCAGTTAAATAACAACCCCCCACCACCACTCCAATGCATTCCTACTCCCTTTCACAAGTGGTGCTGCAAGGAGAGTCTGGCCACACCTCACTGGCTGTTCTCACACCCCCCTGCTCAGTGAGGCAGATTACCCCACCACACACCATTGTTAAACTCACCCACCCCCCCCACCTCTAGAGTCAGCAAGTCAAAACTCTTTGAGAGTTGACCCACTGCATAGCAATGGGAATTTGGTACTGTAATGTACTGTACATATGTGGTGTTATCTTGAGTTGTACCAAATACAGAATCTTCTTTAGAATCAAGAGTTCCACACAAAAGTGGATGATGTACATCCTGACGAAGATAAAGTGGTGAACAACTTCTTCCTGGAGGACTGTGTAGATATGGTGTATGTCAAGAGAGGGAAGTAAGAAGCACCAAAGATCAGGAGACTACAAAACACTTCCCAACTAAAATCATTTAAAAACAAAGTTTCGAGGTTCTAACCTTCAACCAGATAAAATTGTAAATTTTTAAGTAAACTGTCTCCAAACACAACACCTGTGGCAAGACAAAGAACGATTTGGACAAAGGATACACACAGCAGAAGCCAATTCCTAAAGGTCACAAAGGAACTAACAGGACTAATTCTACAAAACATCTCATAATCTCAAAAGATTTGGTAAGAAGTGGAGGAAATAAACAAATCCTAAACAAGAACCATTTCTACAGAACTAATTCAACAAAAAGGATTTCTCATTCAACTTCCATTCAAAAGGAAACACTTTGTCCAGGAACAAAACAATCTTTTTTGACAAAGTTCAAGCAATATGCCTGACAGCATGAAAGTGCACTCATCACCTAGAACAATTCTTTAGAGATTGCTCATAATTGAAAATTGAGAAGATCTTAACTCATTATCACAAGCCTCAGCTAATGTACTGTCACCATATAGATCACAATCGTCCCCATAACTCACACCGAGGGGAAAAAAGGGCGACCCACAATTCCTTTAGTTCATACAGTTAATTTAAAATGCTGGAGGACACTTCTATTGCATTAACACCCTGTCGGAGGAGTGAAATCCCCATCCAAATCAAAATTATCCATTCACACTGACAATTACAATAAGGAACTACCCTTCTGACTCTGGATAAAAGTCACTCTAAACTTCTCAATCATATCAGAGTAAAACAAAGCCTACATGAATAATAAGTCATTCCAACTGTAAAAGCAGCATATGTTGACAGGTTGAGCCATCAGTCTCACAATCAGAAAGACTCGCCTCACAAAAGGAGCCATAAATACTAGTTGTTCAACAGTCTTTGCTCACTGTCTTGAAATATTCCTCACTGATGTAAAATAAGAAAGTTTCTAAACAGAAGAACAACTTTCATCGGAGGAAAGCCCACTACCTTATTACCAGTGTCCCTCTGCAAACCTTAATCATTAAAACTCTGTCTAACGTAAATCAAAACTTTTTCTTAACCACCAAAAATCATTCCAAAGCTAATTTCAGCTCAGAAGATAACCTTGAACTGGCCTCGTCAGAAACTTTTCAAAACTTCCATGAAAAGGTAAAGGCCAGCACAGCCTCCATAAAGTCAACAGATACAGAGACTTGACCTCATCTATTGGATCTGTGTCACTCAAACTTTATGCTTAGGAATGGATACATTCATCCACTCAAGATGTCAACTTCCCAACTCCTACACAGATGCAGCACCCTAGGAACACAGAAAAGTCTCAAAACAAAAACCCTATACTGTACAGTACTGTATTCTGACTGTTGTATAACCTGTTTATATAATACTTCCTCTACAAAGTTGTAAAGGGATTCAGATTCGTCTTCATCTGGAATCTTATGATGGCACAGAGTACAGTACCCATTTCCCACTCAATCACTCCACAACCCTTGGAAAATTACACAACCTCTGATATAAATAAAAGCAACCTGTAGCAACCTGTATCACAATTATTTTTTTATACTACAGAAGTAATGGAGTAGTTAGAGCACAGTATTAACACACTACTACAGGCCAAGTGTCGCGTGAGTTTGAGGAGTAAGTTATAAGGTGATTGTAAGATAATAATAATCACACGCTAAAGGCTTATTAGTAAACTCAATAACAAAGTGTGGTAAACATAATGCTGGTAGTAGTGAAAAAAAAGTCATTACTTCAGCATATTTTCATTACCTTGGAAAAATTACTAATACAGTAAGTCCTTGTTTAACGCTGCCCCCGATAATGTTGTTTCGCTATAACGTCGCTACTCTTTAGATGCCAATAATTCAGTTAACGTCCCGACGACTCAATATAACGTCGTTTTTAGCGTCGTCGCGGACTACTTTTTACGGTGCATCACTCTCTCTCGTTTTGCCGCGCTACGCTCTCTCGTCTTGCCTCGCTACCTCTCACTCGCTGAAAGTCACAGCGTCCCCAAGCTTCGTCGGTCTTTGTTAGGCTTCCACAGCGTTCGTGCATGTTTAAGTGTTTTTGCTTTTAATACTGTATGTACTGTACTCTAACAATTCAAAATGGTTTCCAAGTGCCCATCAAGTGCTACCAATGCTAGTGTTGTGAAGAAGCAATGCAAGACCGTTAGCCTTGCTACGAAAATGGAGGTTTTAAACCGGGAGGAGGAGCCACCCGCCGGGTCTCAGTGACTCGCCACTCTCCTCCTCCGCTCCACTACCCACCACACACTCCCTCCGCCCATCAGTGAGTACATTATAAAATGATTTAGTTCTATATATATAAACTATTTTCTATAGAAATGTCATTGAATTTCTGTATATGAAATGTATTTCATGGGGCCAAGGGAGGTCGGGGAACATAACTCCCGTATTTTATCTATTTCTTATGGGGAAAATTTATTCCGTTCACGTTATTTCCGTTAATGTTGCGGTTTTCGGGAATGGAACCGAGACGTTAAGCTAGGACTTACTGTACTGTATGAGAAAAACTGTAACCTTAGGGTTTTCATTTGTAAATCAGAGCACTGGGAATTTCTTTTCTGTAACTTCTTGTAAACTGAAGCTTTGTATATGATGGACTGCCTGTACATTCAGATAATCCTCAATGTGAAGTATCAAGAGACCAGCAACAACTGGGGGGCAACCTGCACCTTAGTTACCTTGAATGAATAAAACAAAAATTGTCCTTACTGTACTGTGTTCCATCCTCTGTATGCCTAACCTCATCTCAGCTCTAAATTCTACCCTCAAAAAAATAAATAAATATTCTTACCTTAAGCACAGTGTGACTGAGATCCTCTGGAGGCATGGTGGTTAGAGTGGTGGTTACAGTGGAGGAGGCGGTGCCATTGGTGGAGTCACCGTGGTTGTTCTTCTCGGGGGGAGGATCTAAAATACTCTTCCTTTCCAAACGAATCCGTTTACAGGGTGGCAAGGGAGGGGGTGGGGAAGGGGTGCGTTCGGGTGCTTCTGGGCGGGGTGGCCTCTCACTAGCTTGAGATACCACTGTGAGGGGAAGAGGTCCTTGGGGCAAGCCCGTGGCACTACAGCTGGTGCTGTTACTACTACTGCTGCTGCTGCTTGGAGGGCCACCAGTCACCCCTTGAGATGGTGTTGGGTGGGTACCGCCTGCCAAGGAAAGGGGAGGAGGCACCAAGTGGGGTGGCAAATGGTGTGGCGTAGTGAGGGGGTTCCCTTGTTTGTCTGTGTGGTGCGGTAAAAGCTGGGGCACAAGAGGTCGCTCTAGAATGGAAGGTGCACCTATTCCACCCATTGCTATATTTCCTAGCCCACTTAATGATGACTTCAAGGCTGACAGTGGAGATATGCTGTTCAATCCTCCCTAGAAAAAGAAGAAAACACACAGTTAAAAAAGTTCCAATGACTGCATAAACTACTACACAATGTCTCTAAATATCAAACCGGAAATGTCAAATCTTCATAGTAAGCATTTTTTTTAATGGAAATCTGTAATGGAAAAAATTCAGAAAAGTTACAAAAGAACATAAATAAGACTAAATGGAAACAAACAATAAAGTACAAAGCTAAAAGAGGCAGAGCAACAGACTCTGTGATCTGGAACAAGAGACTGAAGGAACTGTCAGTCTATATTCCAACATTATATTTTCCACTGAATGAAAAACATGCATCTAAGACTTTAACAGCATTAATGACTCACAGTACCTCAAGCAGCCTACTGAGTCCACCACAAGATACCAGTACAGGCTGTGTAACCTCCCTCCCATGGCCACTTGTCAGCCGACCACCAGCAACCACCACCACCACCACCAGCACTAGCGACCACCACCACCAGCGACCACCACTACCAGCGACCACCACCACCACCAGCGACCACCACTACCAGCGACCACCACCACCACCAGCGACCACCACTACCAGCGACCACCACCACCACCAGCGACCACCACTACCAGCGACCACCACCACCAGTGACCATCAACAACTACCATGACCACTACCAACAACTACTCAACACATCTTATGATATTAAAACAACACTGTACATAAAAGAACTATTATATAACCTACATTAATGAAAGACTCTCAAAAGTGTACAGCATCCTCCCCACAGCTCATCGTCAACAACATTAAATAATATTTAGTTTCAAATATAAATTTATTCTCTTTTGCTGTTTCTTGATATGAGGTGTACAGTGAAGTGCAATACAGTACAGTACAGTACTTGGCAAAGCATTAGTGGGTCTTTTTTGTACCCATTATGCACACTTTGGGGGAATTTATTAAGATATACAGGTGTACCCAGAAAACTGAAGTCCCATTAACAGCTGCTTCACATAACTGACGATTACATATAGGGGAAATATCCCGCAAGTTTTGTTGACACCCCGGAGATTCGACGATCGAGAGAGGAGCTGTAGAGCCGTTTTGAATTTGGCGGGCGGTGGCGTGATGCGAATTCTTGCCACGAAAGGGCTCTGTGCAACCCCCTGACTCATTCCTATCATCTTTGCTCTTAGTGTGTTCATCAATCATGACTAAATGCCCCAGTGATAGTTTCTCTTATGCTGGTCAGCTTGATGTGATGTGATAAGAGTGGTGACGGACCAGCAAAGACCGGTAGAGACTTGAACTTGTCACCCGAGACAGTCTCTACCAGTCTCAACTTATGCTTTACATTACTTATTTAAGACTCCTTATGCTTGGTTTATACGTTTCCTTTATGTTTTGCTAGACAGTGTGCAGTACAGAACTGTATCAAGGGAGTCTTTGGTGGGTGGCCGGTCACTAACACCCTGAATTTGTTATGTTCTTATGGCATTACTTGCTTCAATAACTGTTGATTCACTAACCAACGACTTTTCCTGGTCCCTATATGTGTAGGTTACATGGAGAATCCCGTACAGTAAAGGCCCCAATACCGGACTAATTAACACACAGGACGTCGTTACTCACACGCAATCTGTTATTGAGACGTCCAGATCAACTAAAAGACTACACTAACACCCGACTGGCTTATTGAAACTCTTACCAAATAAGTTCAATTAAAAAAATAATATTTATGATATACAGTACAGTACAGTACAGTACAGTACAGTACTGTACTGTACTGTACTGTACTGTACTGTACTCTCAATATTTGTTCTTTTCTTTCATTTAAAGTGTCAGTAGAGGTAGAGTTAAGTAGGGTAGTAAAGTCTAAAGATTTTAGAGCTGCATATAAGATTTTTTAAGATGTCAGAGTCCCGACGTACACATGGATGGCCTGTGCAGTGTGAGATTAAGTGGGTGTGTACAGGATACCTCTGGCAATGAAGTGGACATGTTTACAAAATCCACTTCATTCTCAGGAATGATAATGTCATAGGTAGATTTTACAATGAGTAAAAGGGAATAGTCTCCAATCCTTTGTTATTATGTATGTTACACAAAAATTAATTATAATAAACAATGAAAATAATGCACAGCACATCATAAAATGCAATAGCACATATTTTATGTACAAAAAATAGCTCCTTCTGCCATTGAACCATCCTATGGGCTCCACTAAGAATGGACAAGTTCAGCCAGCAGACTGACTTGAGAAATGCGTGGCTACTACGTCGTGCATGCCATTGGGATAGCATGAATTATATAAGTTTCCTTTATTTCTAAGTCACATTAGAGTACTGTACTGAATTGAATTTCCCACAACTTTTACAGTAACATGTATCAGTGGCAACATGTGTAGCCATCTCAAAGCCAGAGCTGTGGCAATGTGCGTTAGGCATTGAAAATTATGAAGAATGTATGGGACCCACACTTTCACTTGAGATGAAGTGGATCACACTTATGATATGCTTTCCGTAAATTCAGAGTTCCAAATTTGTGCATTATCTCGGGAACGGGGCGTTTACTGTCGACCGTGGCTAGCACCTCAATATTATCACTCACGGTAAGGAGCGTTCTGCTCTTGGGGCCTTACCCGAACGTGTGAGATAATGCTGAGCAGGAATGACTGCGCCAGCCAAGGAACGCCGAACAACGGCATTTGCACCAAAAGCCCACAAGAAGGTTAACAATCTCTCACCTGCCATGCACTCAATAAGACCAAACTATCTTGGTCAGCTCTCACTCACTTCACTTGCAGAGAATTTGACCCCACACATTCTATTCTTCTTAAATCTTCTTCCCTCGTTTTATCACTTCTCCAAACTCCCTCAACAGACTGTCCATACCTACTGTTCTCAGTCTTGGTCTATCACTACTATACTGTGAAGTACCTGAGTTTCACATTCATAAGTAGGATTGGGACAAACATTACTTCAGGCAAACTCTTAGTATAGTCTATACTCTAAGACTCATTCCATGAGCCCTACTTCTTCTCATCACTCTGCTGTTAAATTCAACTTTTTTATTTCCATCAATATTCAACAAGGCTTCCAAATACCATAAATTATTCATTCACAATCTCCACTTTTCCACCATTACAGAGATAATCTTTCTCTACTAATAAGACAACTTTGTTTACTCCAGTATTCACCTTTAACATTCTTCTCTAGACCCTCACCCTAATAAACTACCATCCTCTCAGACTCAAATAACAATAGAGCATCACATGCATGCAACAGCTATGGAAGCTTTCACTCATCATGTCTATTTCATTCCAGTGTCACCCATTCTTGCTTGTGTTTTGCCTACAACTCCATGTTGTATAAAGGCACTACATAACCAGGGTGACATCAAACACCCTTGAAGCACTCCAAGTACTACTAACCACGCACCCAAGTTGCACTCACGACATTAATTCTGCAACACGTGCTGCTTCCATTGTAAAAATTTCTCAACAGCCTTCAGTAAACTTAAGCTTACCCAAAACAAGGTCAACTACCCTCACCCGTCCTTCTTTATTCACCCTCATCATATACTTTCTCTATATCGATAATTACATCAATACTGTATACAGTTTTCTTCCTTCTCAACCACTGTACTCCTTGCAAATGTTTAATCAATACATACTGTATACAATATTTCTGAAGCAAAATGTCGCAGTACCTCACCTACAAGTACAGTATTTCAGCAATGCTTCTGCCATGATCAAGTGAAGCCCTCCCCTATACTTTACCCCCCCCCCCTCCCCTTCTCACAGGAATATTACCCATAAAGTTCTAACACCAGTATTCATTCTTACCACAGTACAGTACTCTCTCCTTCATTCACGGGGTCAAGAACAGTTTTCCTCTGGTACAATACTTGCCACAGCTCTTCCAGGCAACTATAAACATTCTCAGCCTTCATCACTTTTGCCTCCTATTAAATATACTGTTTACTCTTTATATGCATCACCACCACCTGTCTATAATGCTCACTGCCAGGTTTATGCTCTCATAGGTATCACCTCCTCGTCTCTGGTCCTATTGCACCTCTAACTACTTCTCTTGTATCTTCCACCTAATTTAAACCTCAACATATAAAGAGTTGTATCTTATAATTATCTGTTGTTGATGGACCAGTGTAAAGACCTTAGTTGAGGCGCAGTAATAACATTTTAACGTTAAAAGTCCCTAAAACGCTATCACCATCTTTCTCCAATCTTCCGTAGTAGCCAACTAATCACTTAAATATGAGGGAAACTTTGTGAATGTCCTGTCCATATAAGTAAAGTAATGGTGGAACAAAATGCAGTAGTGAATAAAGCATTGCATTTGATATTTTGAGTGAACCAACTAAAGAATTAATAAGTTATCTGCTGGAACCCTGGAACAACAAAACCACAGATAGTTGCCACACTGCTACAACATACTGCCTGGACACAAGTCACATGTGTATTAAATGTGTAAACAATTGGTCGAGGCAACGTCGATAAAAGAAAATGACGCCCCTAAACACGATTACGAAAACAGGCCACTAGGCAACCACACAAAATCCAACACTAAAGAAAGAGGGTGAAAAATAAATAAATAAAAGGTTTACGTACTGTCAACTTTGGCCCTAAGACATCACACTACACAACATGATACTAAGGCGGGTGCTTTACAAATCTGAAGTGTTATGATTCTGGCATTACTGGGATATTGTTCACTATATAAAAATGTCAAAGGAATAAAATAAAAAAATAAAACCTACCACCAGGGATACGTCATCTCTAACCTGTCCATCAAGACTACAGATCTTATATCACAAGGGGTTTTGTAATTTAAAACAAGATAGTTCAGGAATTGTAGAGATGCCACCTAAAAACATAAGAGCTCACACACTCTCTCTCTGATTGCTGTAACCCCTTGCTTAACCTGGACAGAGGGGAGGGAAAGAAAAAAATGAGATGAAATGCCAACCCTAATAAACCAACATTACGGACAGTCTCGTGATCAACTGAAAAAGAATCACCGGTCTTGAGAGATATATAAGAGGTGTTACAGTAACTACAGTACTGTGTAAACTGTGTATAGAAGCAGGCAACAGAGCCCTTGAAATCTACAAAAATCTATTGATGGAATATACAAAGGGAGTGGTACGAGATGACAGAATGGACGAGAAATCTTTTTGAAGGAGTGAGGGTGAACACACACACAGACGTCACCCACCGATAACACAAATAAAATACATAGACTGACACAGGACACAAGTTAAAATTACAATTCAACTTTCCCTCAGGTGAACAAAAGCTTGGCATGAATTAATACGAAGAACATTATTTCTTTTTATAATGAATAAAATCTTTCTTTTTGTCTTGTAAGGAGCATTGTAACTTTTCTTATAGTTTAGTTTAAAATGAAAATTGGCTGACAGATTACAGGCACAGTATATCTATTTCATTTACCGAGAGGAACAACCCACTCACGTGATCTTTACGCTCATCAGACGACTCTGCTAGGCCTCTGATCTTAAGAGCCTCGGCAGTATGTAGGAAGGCACCCAGCTGAACTTGAGAGATGTTAACCTCTCCTGCGTACATGAACTCCAGCAAACTCCTCATGTGTGTGTAGGCCACGTCACGTAATATTATGATGGGGTGTGTGCATGGATTCCCCTGCAAGAACAAATAGCCATTATGTACAACACAGAGGGGAGAAGATAGTTTGGCTAATATCCAATACCAGGTAACTCGGCCATGAGATATTATGCATGCAAGTAATTTCAGCGATAGTCATCTTTTGACCTTGACCTCTGACCCATTACCAAAACAAATTTAATCAGGTCTAACACTATTACATGTGGGGTGGGACCTATCATGTTGGTTTGGATTATCTTGAATCATCTAAGATACAGTATTTACCTTATACAAAAGACCATATGGGAAGAGGGATAAAGAAGACAAAATTCACAGGTGTTGCAGCAACAGTATGATAAAGTCTGAATTGAGTTATACACAGTATTTTCACTAAGTAATTGTCATCTTACGCAATGAACGCATCAGTATCAGTTACCCTTCAAGCTATTGAAAAACATTTCTTTATCCAGATTAATTGACACTTAAAACACAAACACCAAAGTAGTTACACAATATAAATTAAGTAGACATAAAAGATATTTTTTATAAGATTATTTGACTAATATTAGTATAGAAAATTATGCAGAGATGGTCGGTGAGATAAAGGAGTGTGGTGGGGGCATGATCTGTCTTCACACTGGCATTACAGTAAACACAAAGCCTGTCACTGCTTAAGACAAAACAGTCTTTACTAACCTGCAGAAGTTCCTTGAAATAGGGACTGCACGCAGAGAGGACAACCTTGTGTGCCTTCAACTGTTGGCCATCACAGGCTAAGGTAACGTCCACAAAGTGCTCCCCCTCCCTCAAGGTCTCAAATTCTGCTGTTATGTTTGTGCGGTAGTTATTCCACCGCAAGCAGAAGTGTTGTTCCACCATCTGCGGGGGAAGGGAAGGAGATGAAGTAAATAATACGCCTCTTCAGCTTTTAAATAAGGATAGATATAACATTTCCTTAATTAAATTATATGTAGCTAGGCACACACACACGCGCGCACACACACACATATATAAAATATGGATATGATAAAACAAATAACTAGATACAGTATAAGAATAAACCATAAAGTACAGGAGTCAGTATGATCAAAGTCACGGCAGAAATTTTGACACATTCCAAATGTTACGAGTTAAAAGCCATCTACAAATTATTGAGAGTTGACACACAAACAGCCGACTGTAAAACAAAAATGTTAAAAGTGCGTGTGGCCGCTCCTGTAAACAAACCACGGGTGACATGACAAACTTTTACCTACACCGACTGAGCCTGTTCCTCATCAACAAGTCCCAACTATATACAGCAGTTACGACGATTTGATTACTGCAACTAGTAAACCAATGAACATGCAGACGACAGTTAAGATGAAGCTACTTTAAGGTGGTGTAAGGCCAGCACTGAACTGTTTCTTTGAGGAATAAAATATTGGAATTGTGCAACATGGAAATTCAGTTTAGTACAGCACACAATATTGGACTTTTTATTCTTCTAAATGCCACCAATGTGCTTGTGCTCTTATATAACATTACGAATTTGTTACTAATAAAATTTTACCCATTAAAAATTTGATTAATTACATGCTGCTGCTTTTAAAACACACACACACAGAGAGGACCCTTGAGGAGTTCACTCCAACAGTAATATCATATTCAAGAAAATGACAAATAAACTAGAGTAACATTAATACTGTAGTGTACAGTATACACAATACAATGACAACCTTTGAATCATCAGTAAATGTTAATAATACAGCACATTTATGTTCAAATCACTTTGTATCTTAAAAAAATAAAGTACAGTACAGTACAGGTCAGAACTTGACCTTTAGAAGTGGCCTTCAACTTTGACACAGTCCTCATTTTAGTGTTTTACACTTTGTCAGGTAATAATAAATATTCACTTTGTTTCATCAAAATATCTACAGTACAGTACAGTACATTATGATCTGGACAAAGTTATGACCAGTGTACAGTGTTACCTAATTACAGTACTACCAATGTTTATTCACAGTAATTCATGATTGCTTAAATTCTTAATGTAATTAAAAATATCACTAGAAAGTGGGTTTTATTACACCTTTAAATATGTGGTCCTCATGAGCCATAAAATTGATGCTTTTGTTTTTCCAGTTCTGTACTGTGTAGCCATCACAGGTACTGTACTGTACACTATATGGCATCAAAGGTCAAGTCTACAAACAACAATGGAACTTCATACATAAATTTGTTGAGATAGTTTGAACAGCTCTTTCATGATATAAATTAAAAGCCTTTAACCATTTTTGTATTTCAATTACAGTACAGTACCTGTAATTGTCAATCTTGAGTGATAATTTACAACAGATTATATTGTAATATAATTTTTAAAAATCTTACAGAAGGAAGGAGAAAACAGCGGAAAAGAAGACAGTTGTGTTTAAAGAACAGTACAGTATGTATACAGTACCACTGCTGGGCCTAACATTGAGGAGTTGGAGAACATGCAGTTGAGTAGCATGAAGAAAATTTACCAAGACAAGACTAAAGACACCAAGACAAGACTAAAGAAAAGACACCAAGACAAGACTAAACTTCTTAACCCACTGATCACAGATTTTTAAAACCTTCATCTCATCCCGGATTTCTTTTACGTACTCACACGTTATATACAGTACCGTAGAGTACAGTATCTCCGTAAACAGTCAGTCTAGGGCACAATGTACCTGTAGTATAAAAGACAAACAAAAGCCACCAGTACCTTGAACAGAGGGCCGTAAAGGTCAAGTGGTGAACGTGGGCGGTGTGGGTTACAATATTTATGTAACCAGAGACGGCATTTTCTGACGTACAGGTATTTTCTTTAATTCATCCCATAATAACACATACACCGAGAATATGTTTGTGTACATCACCAGTAATGCAAACTACATGTCTTAACGAGGTATTGTATTCACATGTATTGTATTGTATTACTCATGTTTAAAGAGTTTGTCCATTTCTATGAATTTTTCCTCTTATTAAGTTTTGTAGAAACCACTCACTGCCTCAACTTAGTCTCTACAGTACAGTAGCAGGATCTGTGCCTGTAATCAATCACTGTCATTAAAGTATCAAATAATGCAGTATTCTGTATAGGAGACTAGTGCACCGAGAGAGTTCATTGTCAAAAGACTAATGTTCTCAGGTGACCAATACTGATTGCACACTTTTATGTGGTGGATGCTCCTGGCCACTGCCTTCAACATGAGGAGTTCATTGTCAGAACTAGTGAGGCTGAAGAGTTGATGGCAGACATTTATGTATCATTACAATTACTGCTATAGTTGTACATGATGACAGTAAAGTATCTGTCAACTGATAAGTATGGGACCAAGAGGCTTCTGTAAAGTGGATACTACTGTATAACCATGATTATATAATATAATAATGGTTGGCCCTCATGTAACGAGGATGGCTGGCCCAAGAGCCACCTAGGCACCAATTTGTTTATGGGGTGGAAGCTGTTGCCAACACAACAACCACACCCTAAGTTAACGACCTGAGTGACCCAGTGTCAAGGAATAGTCCGAGAAGACCGGACAACTTGTCAATTGCACTGGCTAACCATTACCCCAGAACATGATCAACACCCAGGTCCCCAATTACTGCTGGGTAGACAGAGGCAAATGGCATAAAGAAATTTGCCCAAAGTTTCACCCTGCCCGGGGATCAAACCCGGGTCCGCTCGCTTGCGAGGCGAGCATGCTGACCATTACACCACAGGTCACCACCATGAATATATTATATGTCCATGGTAAAGGCAAGCATGAACTATGCAGGCTTCCCAGGTGGGCGCTGTAAACGGTTTTGCGCTTCACCTTACACAGGATGTAAGGGGGTGCCCAATAAACTAGCCCTCTAGGGGCAAATAAAAACATCCATGGAAATCATGAAGTAAACCATAGCACGTACTGTTTGGTCACCGGTACATTATTAGTTTCTACAAATATTGCAAAATTTACTTCATTATTCTGCAACACTCCAAATGTTATTAAGTCTACAATAAGCTTTCAATGTGTCATCACGCTCCTATAAACACCACCGAACTAACTCCTCAAACTCACATGAAGACTAGCATACTCATCACACACACACACTGAGCTGTAAAAGAAAATTATTCAATATTCTTAAACTTCATATCTAAAATCCTCAAACCTTTCATAAAATGGCCCTGTACAGTATTTCATAAGGTATGTTTTCAGGTGATGATATACTGTAGTACTTTACTGTACAATACAATACATTCAGTTTGTCCTGGCTATGGGACAAGTAAATTAATCTCACCCAAGTTTGTCATTCCTTTTAATGGTTCTGATCATAGGTTCATTGGCATTATATACAAAGGTTAATTTGCTTTAGAGGATTTACTTTTTACAAGTCAATACCCTCACTCTTGGCCTTCCCAGGAGTAAAGTGCTGTACTGGGGGCTTAAAGGGCTCTCTTCCTGGAGCAAACATCTTCAGTTAAATCATTACAGGTTTTTTACCAGACAAATACTGTACCACAACAGGAATGGTTACCACATAGCTACAAAGGCCACAAACTCTGTTTCTATTAGAGGCAGGAGTGACCCTGTGCAGAGCTGGTAGAGTACCTCACAATTTCACAACACACTCAGGGCTGCCTTATGTTTCCAAATGGTTCCAATACCAAGGATGCTGGAATATCACAAAGGCACTGTCATCACACCTGAATGAATCATATTGTCAACAACTCAATCTGTCAATATACAGTACACTAATAATGCGTACACTCACACTTCAGGTGAATTGAAGTGCTGCGTAAGAATGTTTCAGTAAGGAAGTTTTTCTATGCCTATCTTAATTGTTTTCAAAATTTGGGAAATAAGAATGAGGACTTGGCCACAGTGATTCTAGGGATTACTAAACACTTCTTAATTATTGGTGCTGTACTTACAATTATTTTTCCCGCTAACAAAGTACAGTACTTGGATTCGTACAAAAGAGTGTTAGTTACAAGACAAGCGAGGTTATCCTAAAACTATATCTAGAACTTGTCAGACCTCACTTGGATTACGCAGTTCAGTTCTGGTCACCGTACTACAGAATGGATATAGAATCCCTAGAAAGAATTCAGAGGAGAATGACAAGACTAATCCAGGGCATTAGGAGCCTTGAGTACAGAGACAGGCTAAAGCATCTTAATTTGCACTCTCTAGAGAGACGTAGAGTGAGGGGCGATATGATTGAGACGTACAAATGGAAGTCAGGGCTAAACAAAGGTGATACAACAATGGTACTCAAACTATCCAACCGGGAGAGAACTCGTAACAATTGTTTTAAATTACAAATTTAGATTTAGTCGCGAGATAGGTAAACATTGGTTTGGAAATAGAGTAGTGGACGAGTGGAACAAGTTACCAAACATCATCATTAACTCTAACACGCTGGATAGCTTCAAACATAGGTTGGGTGGATATATGAGCGATAGGGGTTGGGTGTAAACGGGACTGTCCAGTATGGGCCAATAGTTACTGTTTCCTCCAGGGTTATGTTCTTATGTCTGAGCTACTAAACCCAATATACTGTACAGTACTATACTGTACCTTACAAGTACTGAAGGTGGTTTTATTTCTTATCCTGTCCTACATTTTTGGTGGTAAAAAGAGCCTTTGAAGGATTTAGTCAATTAAAAGGGTTTACTGTATACTGCATGTTAAAACCAACTCCGTATATACTCATTACGTATAAGTTTTATTAACTGTCAGCCTGCATACTAAATTAGTTGTCCTTAAACCTCAAATGGCAGGTAAGGATTCCCTTACCTACTCCCAAATGTGTGAACACAAGGAACACTACACTTGTGTTAGCTGTCGTCCCTACAACTGAAGTTGGCCGCCATT